GTGAACTTCAAGTAAGAAAAGGGATTTGGAATAGTTTTCTGTATTGATTTCCTTATTTATCAGTGTGAATTTTCTAGGAAAGGGCATGTGGAAATTTATTGTATTCAATACTTACTGATTAATACTCAAAATTTTCTATTTCATGGTTACTGATATATTCTCTGTACAGTGTTCCTTTACCTTTGCCAAATGCTCAAAGGTATCGTTTCATATTTCAGTGTAAATAGGATACAATGCCTACTTTATTTCCTCCCTGTTACTCTAATTATAGCATAATTTTCCAGGCAATCTGAAGATATCTTCTGGTACCAGTAATATTTTTTGATTTGGAGAGGTTTCTGAATTTATCCTGTGGCTCTTTGAAGCATGAAAAGCTGTGAAAGTCCTACCTAAACTCCATTATACTGTGGGATTTTGCAAATCAGAGTACTGAGTTTTGTTGCATGCGTTAATTTAAAATATGGGTGGTTTTTCATTCTGTTTTGAAATTGGTTTTGTCAATCATAAAGTACATTATTCTTGCAGGAGTTTGCTCTTCTGGTCTGACTGTGCTATCTTAGATCAACCTAATCACTTTGTAATGTAACAGTGTAAACAGCAGCATAGCACAGGTTACTTACCGAAGACAGGTTTTGTTATGGTTTAATCTTCAAGTCGGAAGAGTAGTATGGGGACTCCCTGTAATCTTAACTGTGTCTTTTCTGGGGCATGAAGGTTTGATCCTTAGGGCATTCCAGATTTCTGCAGCACAAATAATGATCAAACAAATTCTGTCCATTACCATTTGGCCTGGAAAACACCTGCCTTTCTGTTGTCGAACAATATAGCTGTTGCCTTGGAGAGAGAAATCAACCTTTGCCGACCCAAGGACTTTGGGTACCTCATGTGTGCAAGCTAAAACCCATTATCTCTCTACTCGGCAAGTCTGATAGGACTTCCTAGCTCTAGAAAAGGGCATTTCAGGTGCATTACCAAACATAGTTTTAAGGCTTTCTCTGCCTGAGAAACTTCACACTAGCAAAAACAAGAATTACCATGTAATGATCCAGTTTAATTTCAGTTGTTCCTCAATCTGAAGACTGGATGTTGTCCAAAAAAAAAGGTCATAAGAGCAGGCTACCAAAGTGTTTATTGTATTAAAATACCAACGTCAAAAAAATTGGATAAATTCTAAAGGCTGTGGTGTAGACATGGTTTTATAAATTAATATTTGCATATTGTTGTGCTTGTATTTGACTCAGTTTTGTTCAGCACAGAGGAAGAATAACAACTATTATCAATAGGAAGAAAAACTGATGTGGTTTTTGAGGGATGTTTGTTAGGTTTTACTTCGCTGGTAATCTATTTCGTAATCAAAAAGAAAGGGTAGGAATTTAATGTGAATTTTGGGATATATACTGGTTTGGGTTTTAAAATCCATCCTCTTATAGCCTGAAAATTTTTTAAATTCCCCAGGGGAGGAACATGCAAAACTGCTACAGTAGGCTCACAAATTGTCTGCTCCACCTTCATCAGGGGAAAGACCTGTCACCAACATTCAAAGTATACTCTTCTTTAATTGGTTTTGCTCTAGCACTGCTTTGTTTAAGAAGATTGAATCTATGTTCCTCCTATTGGAGGGTAAAATAAGTGCCACAAGAAACAGAACTAATTCCTACTACAGTAGTTACAACTTGTAGAGGAATTGTTTTAGAATGTGGTGGAGTAATCAGGCCTCAGTTAATGGTCTGAGTAGCAGCAGTGTGGATTTTGATTTGAAAAATTGTGCCTTGCCCCACACCTATAAATACATGTGGAGGAAGGAGTATTTTCTTCACAGATAAGATGAAATGGATAAGAGTAGTAGGAGGAATCCTATCTTATATAAAACATGAACAAAATTTAAAATCTGGCTCTTAATCACCTTAAGTTGCCTCTTTGTGCCTGAATTTCCCTATTTATGAAGAGGAGCCAATGATACTTGCACTTCTTTTTTTTATGAACCCCTTGGTCATATGCAGACAAAAAGCTCCGTGTGGGAGTGGAGTATATCACTGAATAAGGGGATTTTTGTGTGAGACTGGGATGTTGCCTGGTTGCAGTGACTCATTCATTAAAATGACTCTGGTATAAGATTTTTGTTTCTGTAAACTGAATGTACATACCTGCTATGTCTGTAGAAACAATTTAAACGGGCAAAGAGAACACCACTTGCACAGCACTTAAATCTACAAAGTGTTCAACTATCAAGATTATACTGAGTCAGATCCTGTTTTCTTCCTTATAAGAAGAATATTTTAAATATTATGTTTCTTTCCTAGGAACAGCCCAAGGGAAGAGTCCCACGCTTTTTTGCAATTAACGTGACAGCTGAATTTGGGTAAAGCTATTATATTTTCCTACTTGCAACTTCCTGAATTCCTCTGTGACATTCCTAAAGGGATCTATGTTCCTCTTCCCTTTCTTGGTCTCACTAAATATACATTGTGGCTTAGAATAATATGAATTTTTCAGTCCTAGGCTGACCTGCGGATTCTGATATCCTGCATACCAACATTCCCACTCCATTGGCCCAACTTAGTTCCTGTGATTTTTCTGTGAAATATGGCCTGTGGACTAATCATCCTCTGCAGCAGCTGTTAAATAAAAATTATGTTAGTTTAACAACGGAAACAAGTAGTTTTTTGTTTTTCCTCCAGAGAAGAGAGACCTACCAATGGCAGTCTAAAACATCTTTCTGTCACAGAGCATCTTTCTGAGCATTGATTCTTCTGCTTCCGTTCTGAGTCATTGGGGGAGCTGCTCAGTTCCATGGGATTAAATTGATCGTTGTTGGACTATGCCTGAAGCAACTGCTGAGAATTTACTTGGTGTTTAGTTTGTATTGCTGATGTGTGTAGGGGCCTTGATTATAAAGCCTGTTGTGGCAGGTAATGTATAGGGATAATACATGGGAGCAGAGAACAGGAATAGCAGTAAACATCACTCCTTGGATGCAGTTCCAGACAGCTCTGCTATAGAGTTATTTCTGCATAAAGTGAGCACTGCTGACCAGTTCAGTACAACTCTAAACTGTCAGACTGTGCTTTGAGACTCTGTACCTTAACGGTATTTTGGAAATGTCAGGAATGCTACTCTTCAGATACTTCTCATACCTCTGCATACCTCAACAAAATGGAAAGTCACATATTTCCATGACAGAATTAAAGTTCTGTTTTGATTCTGACTGTAACTGACCTAAATATGGTAACTCTGCCTGTTTGGTTTTGTTTGGTAGATCTGCCTTTATTTTGTTTTTGTTTTTTTTTGTCTGGATAACTGGAAAAAAACTAGCTCATGCACTGTTAGCATGGGCAGTATTGCTAATTGTTTATCATGTAGGTGACGTAAAGCGCATATCTGTAATGCTGTATATGTTCAAAATATATTTCCAGTAAATGCTAGTTGAGGCTTTGTGTGATTAGTATTTCTGTTGATGTAATCTTCAGGTGTCATATAATAAGTACCCAAATAAAACTACCTGTATGTCCTCCTCCTATCCATGAACATTTTGTTAAAATGATTTGTGATGTTCAAATTCTGATAAAGGCAGGAAAAAGTTCAGTTTTGTGAGCTTGTGGTCAAGGTAACCCTATTCATTCAGCATCCCTCACTGCCCACAGAGTCTGCAGTAGTGATGCAGATCAACAATCCTTACAGTTCAGCTCTTGATTAATCCTTAGATTTCCATCCCTAATATGCTTTAAAGGATGTAATGGTATTACAGGGAATGCAGTAGGTGAACATTGCAAGAGACCTTTGCCTATACTGCTGTGCAAAAGAAGATCAAATCTGGGCTTAGTGGGCTTGTTCTGCATGCCTGGCTCTGTAACCCTCAGCCTACTCATACTGCCTTGCACTTCGTGATAACCTCTGTGTTTCAAAGAAATGTCATTTATAGAAAACTAACCACAATAAGATTCTAAGAAAATGGTTGTAACCATTAAAAAATCAGGGCAGAGGAGAATTTCTCAGACTTTTAAAATTTATATTTCTTGCTTAGACCTTTTCTGTAAAGTTCCCTCATTTAGTGTAGAAACACTGGCAACCTGTTTGGGGATACCAGCATTTTTTTTTTTATTTCATACCTATGAGTTCAACCTGCTTTGTGAGCAGTATTTTAAAAGCAGGCATTACTATGCCATTCACTGCTCTTGAAGGAAATGTGACTTTTATCTTCTGTTCTTATAGTCATGTTCGTTGTCTTCCCTGCCAGCTAGACTGGAAGAGGGAAAGGAGAGCAAGAACTCTGAGCACTAGTAGTTTGTAGATAGCTTTTGAGCTGTGGAAGTATTAGCCTTATCTCATGTGTAGCTTCTTACTCAATTTAAAGTCCTATTGGCAGTTTTAAAATGTTATCAGTAGTGCTGTATATTTGAATTGCATTTGCAGCACAGCATTTGCTTGGTTTGGGTACTTGGACTTAAATTTTATTTGTGGACATGCACTTAAACTGATTTGAAACCTATACTGTGAATCGCTGTATACAGAAAATGTTAAGTAACTTTTATTCACTGCACTGAAAATATGGAATTGAGCCATTGTCATCCAATAAAACTTGGTTTTGTACAGCATTTTTCATGCAAATTATATTTGAATGCTTTAGAAGTAAATAATACTGATGGGGTAAAGAGGCATTTTCAGTAAACATAGCAAGGAGAAAGAGCATTCCTCTTTTTACAGAAATTAGGTAGTCAGATGAAAGAGATTACAGAAAGGTGTGTGTGTTTGTGTTTGAACTAGGGTGACAGGATGCAGTGCTCTTTCCTATATATAACAAGATAGGTAAAAAAGATAACAGAAACCGAGACAAAACAAAACCAGTGATTTTGAGTAGAACCACGTCTGCACCACTGTTCTAGTGTTTCTGGTCAGAAATAAAATTTGTTCTTGACTGGAAAGGAAGGTCTTGGAATATTTTAAATTAACAGATCTTTTTGTCATCTTGCAGAGCATTTCTGTGTAGCACTTGATGAGCTACTATGAGCTTGCTATATAGTGATAACAGTTGTGGAGTCCGAGACTTGGAAAGCGGCTGCTGTGCAGCCATGGCCAGTGCCTGCAGCGTTGGGGCGAAAGAAGACAGCGTAAGCGTCAGCAGTGGGACTGGAAACCCTCCAAGTTCTTTCACAGAGGAAACACAAGGATATGATGTGGAGTTTGATCCACCCTTGGAAAGTAAATATGAATGTCCAATCTGTTTGATGGCTCTTCGGGAAGCAGTGCAGACACCATGTGGACACCGTTTCTGCAAAGGCTGCATTGTCAAATCAATAAGGTAAGAAAAATTTATGGAAGTTGCTTTTAAGAAGAAATTCACTTACCAAAGCAGAGCAGTTCAAGGGCAATGTAAACTGAATAGAACTGCTTAAGGTGCATTACCAGTGAGTGCTAATAGAATTCTGGGAAGTTATAATTCCTTAAAGATGCTTTCTAGTAAACACCACGTATGGCCAAAAAGTCATGAGTTTGGAGGTTGCATGAGCTTTAGATGTTTTGCCACTTACACAAATTTACCCAGGTTATGAATATAAAAATTTGATGGAGTAAATATTAAATAATAACTTTTTTAAAACTAGCCAAAACCTCCAAACAAATTCCATTTTCAGCCCAGGATTATAAAACCTGTGTTTTCCCTATGACTGTTTCTTTTGATAACTACAGGCAACATGGTTTCTTGGTGCAGATTCATGATTTCAGTTCTTCACTTGAAATCAGCTGCTTCCTTGTTGAGCTGGAAGAGAGAATGTTAATGAGGGAATAGTCTCAAACAAAGCGTTGAGAGAGGAAACTAGGTGGCATATGGGGGAGTGGGAATGAGATATGAAGGCAAGAACAGGCTGGGCTCACAAAAATGAATGGTTGAAAGAGCCAGGAAGGGCAGAAAGTACACTGGTAGAGTGTACTTCCCTCAAACCTGGAATAGAGTCATCAGTGTCCCACATGTGTCAGTGAGTTATTGGAACATATTGATAGAAGGCCAGATATTATGGTATAGGGTTTTTCCTTCTGAGCATAAGCCAGATTTTTTTCTTATCAATTGCTGACTTAGCTCAAATGTCACAGTACTTTGATAGGAATCTAAATATTTAATTCTGTGTGACCCACGTATATTTAATTTCCAAAATTACTTTGCACACCTTTCTGTAAAGATCATCAAACTGTCTTCAGTGTTACTGCACAATGTTTTTCCCAGGCATTTATTTTTAGCATGCAAAATGGGCAGTGCTTTCTTGATTGGTTTTCCATAGCATTTATCCATAGTTCTATTCCATTTCTTTTTCTCCATGGTCCATCATTTGTAGCTCACTAAGTGAATAGTATGCCAGCAACAATGTTCTCTGAATACAGTATTTTGTGGTTTTTATGGGCTTCTCTGTAGCTTCTGCCACTGTTGTATCTGATCCTACTGTGTTTTTTCATGGCATCCCTTTTAGATCAAGGAGGGAAATGTTGGAGCTGCGTATGAGAAGACAAAGTTAATTTTGCATTCCCTACTTATGATAGCAAAAGAGCAGGCTATTTTCCTTTCTAGCAAACACAGAAATTTATTGTGTGTATTTGCAGCACAGTTCTTGTTAACATTAGTTTCATCAGTACTTCTGAGAAAAGGATGCAAATTCATTATCCAGAAAATGCAGAATGCCACCAGTGTTCACCCATGAAAAGTGATTCGCCTCTGGATTCTGCACAGGAAGCTGAGATAACCAGGTCTCCGCTCACTATACCATGAGATCACCCTGCTCCCTTAGTCCCTTGTCTTGTTCACTATTTTCCTATTTCTAAAGGAAAAGTACATCAGGCCTTACCCAGCTGCATCACTCAATGGTATTCGTGTCAGCTGGGTGCATGGAAGAAGGCAAAAAACCCCAAACCTGAACCTGTCAGCTTTGACTATAATCCAGTTCCCTAGGTACAAGCAGTTGGCTTCACTTTCTGGCCTTTGCTTTGCACGTGCCAATCTAAATTCTTTCAAGAGGTTAATGTTCAAGAGGTTTCATGCATACTTGTAAGCATTTAATTAGACGTTTGTACCAATAAAGGCCATGAAATTTTGGAGTTCCTTGCTTGCTCTATTTGTTGGCAGTAGCAGTTTTTATACTCTTCTTTAACTTGGGTATTTCTGGAAGAAAGAAAAGAAATCTTTAAACCTTCTCATGGGAGTATGATGTCTATAAATCCTGAAGGTAAATTAGTCAGTACTTAAGTATACTGAGCTTTAGAAATGTCTGATCACCAATCATTTCAAAGACTTCCTAGGTTGAAAACTGAGGGGAAAATGACTAAACTTAAAATTACCAAAAATGGATGTCTCGTTTCCAGTCTTTCAGATCCGTAACAGCTAAGGTGATCTTGTTTTTTAATCCTTCTGCTGATGAGCTGCGCAGTTACAGTTATTGGTTAGAATTTACCACAGGACTGAGTGAGGAACTGCAGTGAACCTATGTTCAGAATGCAACATCTCGTAGCAGGTAGAGAAACTTCCTTCTTAAACCCCAGGCATGGGAAATGGTTTCTCTTCCTTTTTAAATTAACAGAGCCTTTGCTCTGCTCAGAGTTTCAGGTCTGCAAACAGTTTCAATGACAAGAAGCTTTTGTTTCTTTTACACCCTTTCCCTGTTTTACTTCATTTCTATAGATGGTGTTGACTGTTTCAGTGAATACTAAACAGAGGTGGAAAGCATTTTTCATCTTGGAAACAGATAGATCATCGCTGTGGTATTTCAGATGTTTCATTGATAGTAAATGTTTTCCCTCATTCCCCACTGAAATCTGTCTTTGGAGTGCAGTTTGAGTGAATGCTTGTGAAAGCAGAGCAGACAACTTAAAGTGCCACACCCCTCTGAATCCCTGAAGGGATGAATTGCATGCTTAATTGGGATCCATGGATCAAACTATTGATCTGGAGTATGTAGTGTCTTACAGTACAATATTGATTTGGAGTATGTAATGTCTGCAGTAACATATTGATTGTTGTCATTGAGAAGCTTCTACAGAACTAAAATGAAAATGGAAAGTGATTTTTATGTTCTCTAAGAACTGTTTTTTTCATTAAGTGATTATCACAGCCTTTATTTGATCAGGAAAAAATCGCTTCTGTTTATTTCTCATTTCCCCACTGTTTAGCTCAAGTGAACACAGAGATTAAGGATTTTTAAATGATAAAGGATGGACAAGCAGTTTTTGAGTAATTGCTTCTTGTGGCTTACACAAACAATTGTAGTTGTCCATGTTGAAGAAGTTGTGGCTGCAACTAGAAAAAAATTTTTAAAAGCTTTTAAAGACTGGAATCTTAGATCTTACAATGTGAAGGACATGATTAGACCACATGGATTTGATCGCAGTAAATGTTTGCCTCCCAGAAAGTCTTGGGATCTTTTTAAATAAAGCTGTTTGTAGTGCTTTGAAGTGCTATGAGTCATGGTAGTGAAGAAGCTTATCTACCTAAGTAACTACAAATAATAGTTTACAAATGCTACTGTCTACAAAGTACTTGATTAGAAATTTTAGAAGAATTAAGTTCAGATGCAGTAGCTAACTAAATTTCTCTCTAGTCTTCCCTCTCCTGTATCTTAGGTCAAAGCTGACTTAGGGCTTGTAGTAGAGCTCACCAAATATCAGAACCTTTGTTTATTGGAAAAGTGGAATTATGAGCTGACAAGGGGCAGCAAAGAAAGCTTTGGGTGCTTGCAGTTCGTCAAACAGCGGCCATGGCTGCAGTTGAAGTGTATGCCAACTGTTTCAGCTTCTAGGCTAAACTGCTCAGTTGCTAAAATCGCAGCGCAGGCTTTTTCTTCAAACAAAATTATTCTGGCTTTACTTTTCATACCTATATTTTAATTGCAAGGGAAGTTATAGGAATATTCATTGTACTTCGTAGCAGGTGATTATCATTTCACAGGTACTGTTGTGGGTGGCACAGCCCAATGTGATAAATAATTCCAGCATAGGAAAGCCTCCACTGTAATGTAAATGAGAACTGAGGTGCATAAACTCAATTCTGTGATAGGAAGTGTATAGCAACATCTTTGTAGATGGATCGAAACAGCCTTTTAAACACAATCCCAATACTTGTAAATGGTGTTTGAAGTCTGTTTAATATACTACAATAAGTTATTGCTCTTTCCGTACTATAATCCTGGGAAAATTGCCATTCATTCTTATTTTACCCTTTGTCTGCTAGTTATTTAAACTGGGGATCTGGTAATCATTACTTTAATCTGTTGTTGGCTGTTATTACACATGATTAGCTTTTCTGTGTAGAAATAAGGCTGCTGTCTTATCAGCAGGCCTACTGAACTATCATTATACTTCACTAAACAGGGTATTTGTAACCAAGTTATACCTGTGAAAACTGATTTCCTGTAGGGTGCCTGCAAAGTGAGGAAACATTTCTGGGTCGTGACAAAGATCAGCACGCTAATTGTAGCTGAGAGAGCTATGAAATAAAATGGCATGCTAGGTATTTTCTTTTTTTAGGACTATGGCTATCAGACTTGTGGCGAGCTAGCTCTTGCAAGCAAAACCTAGAAAGGAAGTTCATTGTCTCTTTCTGAAGTCTCAACTTTACCCCCGCTTCCTCTAGCAGTGTTGCTGATGAAGGAGTTGCTGAGCAATTATTTCCTTTTCCAGCAAAGAACACAAATTCCCTTCTGGTCTCCACAGCCCGCTAGGTTCTACTTCCCCTTGTGCTTGCAAGCAGTGACAATGATCTGGCCTTTGATCTTTGCACCATAAATGCTCTCTGACATTTTTCCGCCCCATGTATTTTTCCATTTTATTGCTGTTTCCATTAGCACTTCAGCTCTGAAGTTTTGATCCCTCATGCTTCTTTAACTGTATTACTTAATTGTGAATAGATACGTTGATCTACTGCTTTCAGAAATGAGCTGATACTGGATATTTTTTTAAAGGCAAATTTGGTGGAAGTGATCCCTTTTTTGCTCCATTTCTACTGATTCTTGTGTTTAAATGCAGGTGGACAGAACCTGACAAAGTGGAACAGGCTGTTAGTTCTCCTCTGCAAGTTGCATGCACCTGTGTTCCACCATCAGACTGCAAACTTTTGCCAGTTAGCACTGTCTTCCAGTCTGTTTGCAGTTAAAACAGCTTCAGATACAACACCCAGTTCCAAATCCAGTGTAATTTTCGTAGTTATTAGTAATTTTTGTGTCTGGAGTTTTTTCACCCTTCTTTGCTGTATAAATAAACAAATTGAAGGGTGACCAACTGATCCAGTGGTTGTACAACAAAAACAGCAAAATGGGCTATATGAAAAGTAATGCCAAATAGATGAAGTGAATCTGGAAAAGAAAAGATGTTTTTGCTTTTTCTCTCAGCTATGATCACCTTGGCTGTTTATAAAGTGAGAAAGAAAGGAGAGAAGCTCCAAGAATCTTTAAAGGATTGTTTTGAAATAGTGTGCGAAATATTCTTTGATGTTTGAGCTATGTGAAGTACTTACAGAAACAGGACCGTAAGTTCTTAGTTTCTTTACACCCTCCTCAAGTTTATTTCCAGAGTATCTATCATGGCATTTGTCCAAATAAAAACTATTGAGTTAGAAAAGTGCTGCCACCCCAGTCATGCCACCTCTAGTGAAACTTGCGTGTTGTCAGTTTCTCTGATGTACATTGCTTACTTAATACTGTCTGGTAATTGCCATATAAATGCCATTGTTTTGAAAGACTTTCTTAATGTGCTATAATTTGGCCACTAATGTCTTGCTAGTGTAAAAATACTTTAAATGAAGGGCAAAAGAAACTTGGAATCTCTTTTTCTTTTCTTTCTGCATTGTAGAGATGCAGGTCACAAATGTCCAGTAGACAATGAAATTCTGCTTGAAAATCAACTTTTTCCTGACAACTTCGCTAAACGGGAAATCCTTTCATTAATGGTTAAGTGTCCCAACAAGGGCTGCAGTATGAAGATGGAGCTGAGACATTTAGAGGTAAAAATTGGTTTTGAAAATATGGAACCTTGTTTCCATGGACAAGTAAAAATTCAAAATAACTTAACATAGATGGTCATACCTGATACCTGTTCATGCTGATTCAGTGCATTGTTCATTCAAGACTATAGCTACGTGTATTTGTTTTTTGATGAGTCTTTAATTGTAAGTAGGTGATTATCAAGTGAACATCGTAGTGCATGAAACTTGTACAAATGCAGCTTTCTCTTTAGGATCATTCATGTTTGCCTTTTGATCAGCTGTATCTGTACTTCACACAAGTTCCCTAAAGTCAGTTTAATATTTCCTCAAAGCAGCTGGATACATTAGTTGAAATAATTGTTTTGGAAAATAATATACAAAGTTAAAAGGATAAACATAAAGCTGAATTTTTACCTGAGAGCATTCTTAAAGCTCTGAATATGTGAAGTCCTGACCTTAGTAATGGGACAATATACAGGCCGTTGGTAAAGTCAGCATAAGTGTATAAGGATTTGCTTGCATGAAGGAAAGATTGCAATTTGTTCCTCTTGTATTATGCTTTATAATGAAAACAGATGAGACAATAGTACCTGTTTGTAGTATCAAATTCTTCTTTTGTCCTTGACCAGGACCACCAGTTGCAGTGCGATTTTTGCACAGTGGAATGCCCACAGTGCCAAGGAGCCTTCCAGAAGAACCATCTGAAAGAGCATATGACACAGGAGTGTCCGAGGCGTCAAGTCTGTTGTCCAAACTGTGCCACATCTATGGCCTATGAAGATAAAGAGGTACTTAGCAGAAGTCTCAGTTTTTCATCCTTCATTCACATGGGTTTGCTTGTAAATGGAACATCAGTTTAAAAAAAAAAAAAGGCATTTTGGTCTAGAAGAACTCTTTGTGCTGCACAGGTAAGAAGCGATAAACTCAGGACATTAGTCTAGAACAGGCAGAAGAGCTGGGGAGAGGATTGTGCTTAGATATAAACTTCTTGGGAACCCTGTAGTATGAAAAGACTTGTATAAGAACCATTGATTTTTGGCCTTACCATCGGAGAGGCTGGTATCTACTGCCAAAGTAACACACAAAGCAATATTTACATTTACAGTTTTTATGTGTGGCAGAAAGGATGTGTCAGGAGATGCATCTTTTGGGGATATCTGCTAACACACAAGACCAAGATAATTCTGAATTCTTCTCCTGGGTCTGCATTTTTTACATGGGTGATACTGAGGATAGCTTTTTGAGCTTCCATTTCTTTTTCTGTATATGGATGTGTTTTATCTCAAGGGCTAATCATTTTATGATATCATATTGTGAACTGTCAAACAAAAATACTTCATACAAAAGAATAAAAAAAAAAAATCCTTTGATATAGTTCCACTACAATTGAACTTGAATTTCAGAAACTTCTGGATAAATTCAGACTCCTTTGGAGCATAAGAGCTTTAGGAAGCAAAATATCTGCAACTTTATGAATCTCTTGTATGGGTCCAGGAAAAAACAATAATTATAGAAAACATACTATTCAGGGTAAGGGAGTTGTCTTTGTTTCATAGTTGTATATAGCTAAATGTGGAATTTGAAATGTAAATAAAAATTTAACATTTTATCAGAGGTGATTAGCACTCTTTTAAATTATGTAACTTTATTGATTTTTTTTCTTTCCTCTCTTTTTCTCTCTTTGATAACTAAGCTTCATGACCAAACCTGCCCACTCGCCAATGTATTTTGTGAATATTGCAACACAGTGCTCATCAGAGAGCAGGTAAGAGACTGCCTTTCTTCTGTGTTTAATGTGGGTCAGATGTTTTGTATTTACATTGCTGCTTTAATCTGAAATTGAACTTGAAGAAACAGTTCATCTGCTAGCTAATAAATCTTTACCCGTCTCTCTCTGAAAATGTTGAAATGTTGCATCCAGTGCAGGTGTAATACTCTTTTCAAAGCTGCTCCAGCTTGCAATTGCAGTCTGGTAAACCTCTGTAGGATTTTTGGCTGCAAATCACATTGTTTAACTATACTGCTTCTTGACAGGGGCCGTGCTGCATGTTTCTGATCTTGAATGGAGGTTAACGAATACCAAGCAGCTGACAGTCGTTATGGCTGACATTAAAAGACAAGGCTTTGATTTGGGCAGAGAGGGAGAGTATTTGTAATTGGAAAGCCTCTGTTGGAAATTAGCTATAAATAATTCACTATCAAACTAGATGCTGGCTGGAATTCTGCTTGCCCATTACTATTGTAATAGCCATTATTATTTCTTCTATTCAATAATAACTTGCTTTATTGACAGGAAAATGATAAGTGTTATTTAATTTGCAGCCTATCCCTGTTTGAATGGGATGGCAACTATGTTAATGACCTGGGTTAAAATAAAGAATGATCTTGTCAAATTGGAGAAATACTCTGAAAAACAGGATTGAGTTCAGTAAAGACAAAGGCAAAAATCTGTCATTAGGTAGAATAATGAACTGCAAAAATAGGGAACAAAGAATGCTAAACTAGGTGTCCTGGTTTCGGCTGGGATAATTTTCTCCCTAGTAGCTGG